GCTAGATTCAAAATATCTGCTTCCAATAAATTCTTTTACAAATAACAGTTTTACTAAATAGATTGCATATTGCTTATTTTAAATTTTCTTGTTTCATATGATGGCATCAAGTAATCAATAATGGTTAAAAATCCAGATACATAATAGAAAAATCCTTCCACTTTAAAGTCAACATCTTTCAGCCGTGTCTTTTACCTTCTGCTCAGTCTCCCCTTTCAGTAAGATTTAACCTCTTAAGGAAATTGTTTTAAAAGCAGTTCGAAATAATGATTAAATTATGGGATTTCCATGAAAGAAATCCTCAGCCCATTCATTTTTTTTTTTTAAAATCATGGCAATTTGTTTTTTAAAAGGTGTTTGAAGTCCTTGAATCTACCTCTTGGCACCATTAAAAGGGAGTAGTTTATAATCCCCTAATGTGCTTAAATAAAGCCTTCAATAGTTTAAATTGTTATTAAACATCTTTTGGGATTATAATTTTATGGCTTTTTTTGCCTGATTAGATGATGAACGTGAAGATCATCAAATACTCATCATATAACAAACCAATTACATCGTATAATCCCCAAAATGAGGTTTGAATCTCAACATTTTAAATTAAGCTGGATTTAAAGGATGCAGAGTATTCATAATGAGTGAAAAAACACTTGAAACAACACCCCACAAATTCCCTTCTCCTAGTTTTGGATGAAAAGGAATTTATACCAATTCCAAATACCAGCTTATACCAATAATACCATTGCTGGGACAGAAGTCTAGGATGGGCTGAAGCAGAAACTAACCCTGTTTCCGCAATTAAATTTACACAGATTTAACTGTAAGCAAGATTATTCTTTAATTCCCTTCCCCCAGGTTTTTCCTTTATTTTACAATCTCTGCTGAGGGATGTGCATTAGAGTGAGGAGATACGCTTGAAAAATTTGGGGGGAGAGGATAACCCTGAATGTTAAGTGATCAAGAAAAAAAAAAGTAAATTTTTTTTTAGAAGTCTAAAAGGCTTACAAAACATTGCTGGGCTGCAATGCACTCTGAAATTATCCTTAGGGTGACTTCCTGAAGGGAAGCACCAGCACAGAACTGGTTTATCCCAGTCCCTCCTCCAGTCCCTGCCATGGCATTTGATGCTCTGATGCCACTCCACAAGGCTCTTCTCTATTTTGACTCAACTTGAACAAACAATTCTTCACCAAATTATTACTATTCTTCTTTTATTCCAGATAGCAACAAGCTTCCATCTCAAATTTATAGCAAAATCCTAAAAGCAGATTTCATAAACCTCCAAATTTGCCAGATGGTGTTATAAGCTACCATGAAAAATTTCTACAAGCTCCACACAACTACATTTTTCCCAACTTACAGCCCCACCTGAGCAGCTCTTCCAACCCAGATGCTTAATCAAAACTAAATCAGAACAGCAAGGAGTTAAAAAAATACCCTGCAAAGTCCTAAGTGTGAATCTGGTCAGCACTTTTGCAATTGTTTTAGCTGATTGTTTTTGTTGTTATTATTCCAAGAGGGGGGAAAAAATAAAAAGGCAATTTGGATGAATTTATCCCCTGATTTATCCCGTGAAAAGCTTCAGAGCATACTGCCTGCATCTGCAGAGGACAGCACTTGCCTAGCCTTTGGGCATATGTCAACTCAGTTCTGCACATCAGTCAAAATACTGTGGGGGGCTGGAGCCTGACACTGAGTGGGAACTACTGCCCAAAACACTTCAGCATCCGGAGACAAAAAAATGGATTTCCTCCTGAGCGTGAAACAAGAACTAGGGGACAAACCTTCGGAAATGAAGTCAGTCCACAGAGGAAGACTTAAAGCTCTTGGAGATGGAATCACTGCATAGAAGGAATTAACCCAACCTATCCACCTCTGAAAGACTGTATTTGTCCAATATTTATTTTAGGTCTTTCCAACCAATAATCATTAGTATGACAGACACAGCAATTACTGTCTATTTTATTTAATTCCATGCCACTGATGTGTATTAATATTACAATTGTGGAAGAAATTTGCTTTTAAAAAGGAGGAGTCCCAACTAACATCCCAATCAGGAAGCACCAATGGTCAGGGGGATGCTGGATTTTGCACTTAACTGCTCATTTCTCCTCTGCCATTTTTCAGATGGCAAAGTGAAGTCATCTTCACTTTGGGGGCAAAAGGGAGGTATCACCAGTCACAACATATCCCCTGCCTGAACCACCCCCGCCCCGTCTTTCCTCACCTCCCACTTTAGGGAGGACCTTGTGTTCACCCCATAAAGGAACAAATCCACTGATAAATAAATGGGTAAATAAATAAATAAACAAAATGTGTGGGATCTCTGGTTTCCTCAGGATGATCTGCCTCCTGCAGCAAGGACATCAGGTGGGGACACCACCAACACCACTGTGCAGTGTTATAAGAGCAGCCATGGAGCCCTGATGCCCTCAAGAAAGAACGGGAGTTTCAACTCCTTCAGCCTGTCCCCCATTACTCCTCAGCTCTGATCACAGCCATTATTTGGATCTGGGTTTGTTTTGGGGTTTTTTTGCAGCCAGGACAGCACCCCAAGCAGCCTGCAAACATGCTCTGTTGCTCTAGTGCTTGGAAGAGCCTACAACGTTCTCCAGACATGTTTTAATTTGAGGAAACTGTCCAAGATCCTGCCTAAGGTCTGCCTCAAGATCCTGCCTGGAGAAGGTCAGACTGGATAAACCAATTCTGTTTTACTGAATTGATCAGGTAAGTCTGGATTTACCACACTGCCAGAAGAGGAGAAAGCTGCCCTGCAAGAAAACTGCGTGCTTCACATGGCTGGGAGGACTCTGCACTGGGGATGGTGGATTTTTAAAGCAAGCTTTAGCTCAGTGTTACAAGGTAGAAAATGCAGCATTGCATAGGTCTTGGGAGGAATGGCTCTTTCTGTATTTGAGTCTTCCAGAAGCAGACACCACCTCACAAGCAGATGTCCAGATGTTGTCTCCTAGAGACTGCCAGGAGTCCTGCAGCAAACTCAGCAGGCACTCTCCTCTTTTGAACACTATTATCACTAAAACCCTGCACCTAACCCAGGTGAAACAGTGAGGGGGTCTGTTCAGTTTGTTCTCTGCTCCTGAGACTGAGCATGGAAGTAGCTACAGGGTCAGGTCAAGCTCATGTAGTTAAATGCCCTACACAGGGTGGCTCCCACCACAAAGGCTTTCTAGAGACACCCTGTAGCCTTCTGCCATATACCCAGAAAGGCATTTGGAGGGGGTGTACCTGGTCCAGGCCAGGAGTGTGCTGAGGATTCCTCAAAGAGCTTGCTAGGACTGACCTTTGTGTTCCTCTGCTCAGATTTGGGTGATGCATTATTTACCAGCACAAACACAGCAACAGGCCACTTTCAGGAAAAAAATATTTATACTACTTAATCTGCAATTCCTCGCTGGAAACTACAGGAACTGACATGCAGTTGTTCAGTGTTCCCCTGGTGTGCCTTGCCCTGACTGCTGAGCTTCCAGGGCCTCTCCTGATTCCTGAACCTAGACCAGGTGCATCAGGCTGGTGTGAGCACCTGTGGACTGCCTTGGGGGAGGATGTCCTTAACCTGCAGAGAGATGCCAAGTGTCATCTCAGGTGAGGACCTAGAAAGGGGGAGCCATCAACACCAGAGGGACCTCAGCCTTTGGAAACGCTGGCACTGAAGACACCAGACAGGGCTGAGGAGCTGGCAAAGCTGGGGCATGGCTGACACGGAGCCTGCCAGAGAGAGAGATTAACCCGGAGACATCTGAGGCCCTCTCTGGCCTCCGAGGAGCAGGGCTCCAACATGAAGGTTCATTCATAGCAACCCAGGACCGCACAGGACAGGATTCCCTGCCTGATCCCCGTGCTGACAAGAGTCATGGCAGATATCTGGTTTCTTGGCTCAGCAGGGGATGGAGGGGTGATGTGCATGAGCGCTTCCTCCGCTTTACGAGCACACCCTTGGCAGAGCTCCCACCGGGGCTGGGCAAGCTGGCCAGCTTCTAGTTTCATCCTGACCCTAGCTACAGAGGAAAGAGTCAGCTACTGGGGTTGGAAGCAACAGCCCTTCCTCACTACCACCTGCAGACACCCCAGCAACCCTTGCCCTGACCCTTATCCTCCTGGTACAGAAAAGCTCAGGAAAAAAACCTGGGGCGTAAAGCCCAGATCCCCACAGCGGATAAAAACACAGTGACAGATCACCACAATTTGACAAAGAAGGAGAATGGCAGTAGAAACACTTTTCTAAATGCTAATGTTAGAAGGTGTGTTACGTATTATAGAGCCCTGAAAGCAGCTCCAGCATCCAGCTTAACCCCACACACCTGTCCAGAGCTTTGATTTCTAATTGAAGGAATAAAAAACCCCATACAGGTAGCTGTGGTAACAGAAATAACTGCACATACCCCCACCACTTCCTAACATTAAATACAGGGGTAACTTACACTCTGGGAATGAGACCGTCTCAAAGAAAAAAATTATGCTTTGCTATTAAACCAGATACATTCAGACCTTTCATCATGAAGCTTCTGATGATCTCTGACAAACATCTGAATAAGGTCTTTGTTTGCTTTTGGCTTTGTTTTTTAATCTCCCCAATTGTTTTCTGCAGTTCTCTGGAGCACAGAATCAGGGGCCAAATGCTGCTCTGTGCTCCAAAGCAGAGAGTCCCACTGAAAAGCAGGACAGGTCTGCAAGAATATATTCATATAAGCTTTAAGTAAAAATCACATTTGGCAGCGATGTCCTGTTAACGACTGCATCTCAAACAAACAAGCAAATCTAAAAACAACACACACACAAAAAAAAAAAAAAACCCATACCATAAAAACATACACTCTATGCTCTTCCCCTGACATCTAGCAAATGAGGCAACAACAACAACTCTGCTCGGAAAAGTCCCTCTACTGCCTGGCAGCAACATCATACGTATTTTTTCTTTCTATGACTACTACAACTATGACATTATCCATGTTTTATTTTGCATATGTGATCTAGAGTTCACTTACTGTTAGATGCTGGAACAGCCATGCCCTCATGATATTTGTGGCTACTTTGGGAAAGATGCCACGCTTTTTATGTCGCTTTTTGTCCTTATCTGGATCATCATCATCACCTGTGCTGGGGGAAGCTACACTGTTGTCCAAGCCGTCACCTGTAAATATAGTGAATCAAATTTTGACTTATGCTACCTTTATATACTTCAGCCGAAGCCTGGCTTTGGGTATAAACTGCATGAATATTTAAATGAGGTATAAATTCTTTAACACCGTAATTCACCAGGGGTTGAGGGGATGGGGAAAGGGGGGTGGGAGAGACACAGGGAGAGGGAGGGGCTCAGAAATGTGTTGGCCCCATTCTGGTTTATCTTGAAGGACAGTGTGGCCATCTCTGCCATTGTAACCCAGAACAAAAAGCGCTTACAAATTATAAAAATAAATTTGTAAGCATCCGACTTGCAAAGGTGGAAATGCTGGCTCTTCTTCACACTAAGTCACTTCCCAAAGATTCATCCCAGTCAGCTACTTTGGCCGAGCTGAAAATTAGGAAAGTATCAACAGTGTTCTGGGATGGGGATCATGACCTGTGTGAAGCTGGGTGCCTGGGGTGTGAAAAGTGGGGTGAATGCAGCTCTCTTGCAACATCATACTCTCTCAGCAAATTCAGAAAAAAACAGATGATTGAGGCATTGCTTATGTTAAGTCTTTTACAGATGTTCGACTTCCCCTGATTCTTTGATGGGAGGTGGGTAGCTAACTGGCTCCCCTCTTCCCAGCCCCAGCCAAAAGAAATTCAGAGGGGGATAAGTAGGCACCGATTTGACATACACCATTAGGAATTAACACCCTGCTTTGTGCCAGTGTGCCGTATTTGTAATAGGTGTCTGCTTCTGTGAAACAACCACTGATCCAGAATGAATTTCCTTAACGCAGAGAAGGTCTCAGACAGTTCCCATCACATTAGCAACACGTCTATGGGAGGATGCTGCCATGGAGCAGCCAGCTTGGGTCTGGGCTGATGGCTTAGCGGCCAAGGGAAAACAAAAGTTGCAGTGCCTCGTAGTTTGCACGCAATTTTTGTTGCAAACGCTGAAAACAGTTTATAAACAAGCCCACAGAGCAAATAACTCTTTGCATTGAATGCATGTGGACTGAACAACATATCTTGATATCCTGGCTTCCAAAGACACTGCATTTGTAGCAACATGGAGTTGTGATGTTATTAGGCAAGTGTTTTTTACACCCTCGGGCACAAGTGATGAAGAAAGTAATCTCAAATCACCTGAATACAAACTATCTCCGTTAGAGACAAAAAAAAAAAAAATTAAAAAAGGGATGTAGACTGTCATGATTTGTTAAACAGCTTTCAGCACCAAAAAAAAAAAGAAAAAAAAAGAAAAGAAGCTATTATTAGTGTTATATTCTTAGCACATTACTGACCATGGCAAATTTATAATTATCCTTATGACTTGGCCTGTGTCTTTAATGAAACTGTAACCTTGGGTAGTTACAGACTAACACAAGATTTTTACAAAGAAATTAGATATCCAATGAATTCTTTGAAAGCCCAGTATCTAAAAAAGGGCTTTTATACAGAGAAGCAATTCACCATATAAAATAATAATTCATAAAAGAAACATGAGCAAAGGAAACAACTCAACAGCATTTAAAATTCCACGGGCTAATCTACTTTCTGTCTGTGAGAGGCAAACAAGGAAAAGAAAAGTATTACGCATTCATTGATTAAAAATGAAAAGCTTCTAACCTAATGACACAGCCTTTCACCACCTCCCTGCCATGGTCCACCCGCCCTCATCCCCCAACCCATTTTTTTTAAAAAATATACTCATTTCAAACCCCCTTCAGATTAATTTAGCAGGCATTGCCTCATGCCTGACGGGAGGAGGACTCATTGATAATTTATGGAAATATCTACTATAATCCAAGGGAGATGACTTTTTTTCCAGCTTTGTGCATCAATAGATAATCAAGGCCTTCAAGCAGCCTTAGCTTCCCATTACCTCGGGCAAGAGAATTCCTGAAAGCATGCCTCCAGGGCACCTGAATTATATCCTCCATTAGGGGAGGAAAAGCTTTCTGCATTCCACCTATAACACTCCCCAGAACCTTTCCTGTTTATTTCTGCTGTATGAAAGCAGAAGCATTAGGAACAGGATTTTTTAAGTGAAGACTTATGTAGATACAATGGAGAAACCTTTCAAGCGCGAGCCAGATCACCTCCTTCAATCCCGGGCAGTGACCTATCCCAAATAAAAGGTTTCTGTTACATCATTAGCTCAAGCCAAAAACAGCCTTGGCTTAATGCACAGTTTGTTCTTCCTACTGTTTTTAGGCAAATACTGCTACTTTACTCCCATCTGGGAGGGAAATTACACTGCTGGGCTGTAATCTAAGACAAGATTTTCATTGGAAGCAAATGCTTTCAATCCAGTGTAAATACTGGTGTATGTTCAGAAAAGCCTAAAACAATAAACCCTGGCCTCGACCGACACAAGTTAGAGAAAGTGAAAAGCAGGGAGAGGATAAGAAAGCGCCTGGCTATCCTCGGAGCAAATGCTTCAGTAGACTCCTGTAAATTGTTTAACCTCTTCCACTTTTTTTAAATGGAAAATTGATCCCGTAAAGACTGAAACCACAGAGAGAAGTCTAAATGGTCAATTGTGGATTTTAGTATTTCCATCTACTTTGCAACTTGATACGCTCACCTCTGTGAGGTCTCCAGAGATTCCCCCCCTCCTTTTCTTTTTTCCCCCCCTTCTTTTCCTCCTTTTAAAGATCTCTAAACAAACTTGAAGCACCACTGACCAGCCACACGGTAGCAGCTACGAACTGCATTTGTAAAATGTCGGTGGCAACTCTGTTCCTGAAGTTGACTTCTCCTGCCGCCAAATGAAGGCGAACTGAAAAGGTGGAAATAATCATAGAAATGATGCTAGTCCATAAACAAGCTTACAGCCTCATTAGTATAGCGGGAGGCTCCGCTGGGTGATTTATGCTTGTTTTGCTGATGCCATGAGGAAATGCCATAGGGCAACTTTAGCCAGCTGCTAATGGTTTCTGACAGCTTCTTAGCAACTAGTGCAAGCAACGCCGTGGCGTTTGCTAGTGACAGAAACCGAAAATGTCATATTATCTGCCCATGTGTCACGAAGTCCGTGTGGCAATTAACTAGTAGGCCAGTGACTGAGGGGCCACGGGCTCTTCGGAATGGCCCATGGCTATCTGGGGTCAAAGCGGGCTCGCCGCTCGCCTTTCTGCCGCACATATGCACGGGTGTGTGCATGATCCCCATCGTGCTCCCGCCCGCACATCGTTTTGGTCCCTCTGCATCCTTTGTCCATGGAGAAACTCCGTCTCACTTTCTCTTTAGGCATGGCCTGACATTATCAGAGGAACTGCAAGTAATCTGTCTTGATATGATGGTTGGAAATGGCACTTTAATTGGCAATACCTGATTCCCTGGTTTTGAGTGCTGGATCCGAAGGTGCTAGCTGTTTTTCTGCTCGCTCGCAAATTAGTCTAAAAGGATTTAAGATCACTGAAGCAGACTCGTTGCCTTGTCAAATTGCTGGGAGCACAGCAACTCTGCACAGCAACTAGATGCTATTTAAAAAAAAAAACCAAACCAACAAACCCAGAAATGCAGAGCCTGTAAGGAGCAGAAGGAGAGCCCGGACTCCGCACTCCTGCTCCCCGGCGAGCAGAACCAGGCGCTATATGTCAAAACTGTCAAACCTTTCAGCCTGGCCGTCTGCCCTTTCAAATAATATTTAAGAATTGTTTTTACACAATTTTTTATAGGCCATGGTCTAGTGAAAGAGGCCAACCAACAAAGAAAGGAATTTGTACTACAATTCGTCCGTGGACGATTTCTTGCCAGACCTGGGCCAGTCCCCATGGAGCGAGGCAGGTGACCTGTGGCAGCTCCCCGGCTGCTGGGGAGCTCCGATTTCAAACGCCCTCAACTCCAGCATCCCAGAGTTGCCTATTTAAGCACACCCAGGCATTTAGGCCGTGCTATCTTGTTCCTTTCAAGAAAGGATAAAGCAGCATTTATCGTATTCAGCCCTGCTGAATGGCTCAGACCGGCCATGCCAGCAGGGTTTCCTCTCACTGCGCTCCCCACTCCGCTGTCATCGCCCCTTACGACTTCCCTTCCCCTCCCACTCCCCCAAAAATCACAGGCAGAAGCAGCAAAGGGCAAGCGACTTTACAGCAGCCCCTCGAGTGGGTAATGCTCTCTTTGTCCCTGCTGATATGTTATAAACCTTTGTTGACAAAATAGGTGCTTCTGGAGAGCAGCTTGGCACAGGCACTCGCCTTCAGCAGCCACGGTCGTGGCAGGAGTTTCCTGGTGATTCAAAGTCTCCCTCACTCCCACACCAAACCCAAATTAAATGTCATCACCCTGCGACGCTGCAAAGTCTGGCAGTGTGGCACAGCTGGGCAGCTTTCAGCCACTCCAGCTCCCAAATTTGCTCTCAAACCTCAACCATCGCAGCTGTCCAGATATGACATAAATATTCCCAATCCCTAGTCATGGACAGCTCTGAAAGTTTGGGAAATTCAGATGTCCTAAAAGCCTTGACTACAAAATCCATGCGTCTGCACGAAGCTCTTTAGACAAACATCCTCAAATGATTTTAACTGACCAGAAACCTCAGTTCCAAGTTGCAAATACAGCTTTTCCAGAAGTGCCTTCACCAGATGTAACAGGTTATTTCTCACTCCACGTAGCCCTGCCCTACTATCAAGTCTGCATTTGGAGTACAAGTATTTTCTATGTCAAAGAACACCAGACTATCCTAAAAAGCCTGCCTCCTATTCCTCTGACAGGAGATCTGAAAGAGCTTTAGAGCTCTACTGTTCAATTTTCTGGGAGGGGGTAAGAGCAGGGCACAGGCTTTGCTGAGGTGCACCAAACAATATGATGAACACTTCCAACTTATACAGTCCAGTTCTAGATAGGCACCTAAATACACAGCTTTAAGGAGTTCACAGGAGCAATATGTGAAAGATGTGCACCCAGAAGCCCTAGGAAAGGCCTGGAGCAACTTTTAAGTGGACTGACTAACAGCTCCTTATGTTCAACTTATCTGTGTGTGTCCAAATGTCTGCTGTTAAAAACAGTTTC